GTGTGCCCTGGCGCCCAGCTCCCTTGGAAACAGTTGGACCTCTCAGCAATCCTGCAGCTACGGTGGCTCCAGGAAGGTGTCCAAGAGGCCGCCAAGGTCCTCAACGGGAGCGTCTCCGGGTCCAGTGACGGCTCCTACCTGAGAGGACAGACAGGGTGCTGCCGTCCGGGTGCTGCGGGCAGGCGCAGGGCTGTGGGTCTCCAGCCCGTCGTGTCACAGGAGGCTCACAGCTGCAGCAGCCGTCCCGGCCCAGCCTGCAGCCCCCGAGAGGCGCGGCTGCGTCCACCTCCACCCTGCTCCCCGAGCCGTGTCAGTCTTTGTTGTCTGTGGTAGCATGTGGATTGCATCTGCTTCCTGTCATTACAAAGCAGTGTACTCAATCTGGCGTCTGGAGCTTGCTCTGTGGTTGAGACAGGATCTTGCTGTGTGGACCGTGCCAATCTTCTACAGCCCAGGCCAGCCGGGAACCGCTCGGCAATGCCTCAGCCTCAGCCTCCCAGCAGGCTCAGCACGGTGCCCACCTGGTGTCTAGGTTTTTATGCCGCTGTTCTATTTGACGGGATTATTTTTCCCGTCTGTACCAGCGTGCTTTCATCAGCCTGTCTGAGACAGGAGCCAGTGGTGGGAGCAGAGCCGTGCAGCACTCTAAGGCAGGAAGAGCCAGGACAGATCCGGCCCAGGTTTCTTTCTCTAATGCCCACTATGTGCGTCCCTCATGCCAGGCCACAGGCCCCCTGAGCGCAGGATGAGGGCTTCCTGTTTGGAAGACGATTAGGCTGAGGTCCAACTGCGCTTCCCGCGCTCCCCGCGGTGATGTGATTTCCTGTCCCTCCAGCTCCCACTGCGGCCCGCCCCACGAGTTCAGGGGCAGGGAGACTGCTGTCTAGGGGGAGCCAACAGGGGCACCCAGGAAGCTGAGGCGGGAGGATTGCCATGAGTGCAAGGCTACCATGGGCTACGTAGTGAATTCAAGGCCAGCCTGGAGTACATAGCAAGGCCTTGTCCCAACAACCAAAAAATAAAAAGGGCAGCAGAAGCCAATAGGAGATTCGCGCTCCGCTCTGCCATCTGCATGGGCAGAGATCTGTGTCCACAAGTGCCTTTGTGGGCCAGGTGTGAAAGTCTGGAACCGGCCCTGCGGGTCCCCCGGTGCCGCAGCTGGGCTCGGCTGCCAGGGCACTGGTGCGGAAGGCCTGGGAAGACCAGGCAGCCTCCTACCAAGGAGGGGGGTCCCCGGAAGTCAGTGCACACTCTCAGGGCGAGAGCTACACTCTGGCTCTGTGAACCTCAGCCTGGTGTGGAGCTGTACACTGAACGGTCAGGAGGAACCCACGGAATCACTGAGAGTGCTTGCCAAGATGGCGGCATTGAAGCTCCTCACAAAGGCGCAGTCGGCCTCCATCATACATGTTGTCTCAGGGTAACTGCGAGATAAACACTGTCATTATTGTGCGTGGTACCAGGACCTTTGCACCGAGCTGCATCCCCAGCCCTTTCTAATGCTGGGACAGGTTCGGGCTAATTTGCTGCGTCCTCCAGCCTGGGCTCAATCTTCAGACCCTCCTGCCTTCACCTCCCACAGTGCTGGGGTTGCAGCCTGCGCCACCCCTGGTTTATGCTTACATTCATACTGGATCTTGCCGGGCATAGTGGTGCACACCTGTAATCCCAGCACTCGGGAGGCTGAGGCAGGAGGATTGTTGCGAGTTCGA